AAGCCACTTAAACCTTGGCTGAAACAAAAATTCATTATCATATAAGTTATGTGACAGATATATATCACTATAGGAGATTACCATTTTATATCATACAATGTATTACAGTGATTTTGTGATGGGGCAGAGCCAGAGCAAGGTGCAACATACAGTTATTACCAGGTTTTACCATACAAAGACACGCACATATATATGTAAAAGGTTTAAGTGGCTATCGTAATTACTGCTTGCAGTTTTCAATTTTTAGTCATCAGAGGTGAACGTGGCCCTAACTTTATTCACAGTCTGAGTCTCTCTTCTGTGCTTACTATTTATTTATTATAGACTGTGTTCCACATTTGGTCCCTTTATTTCATGTGGTGACACACAGGCTTCCTGACTTGGAGAACTGAAATTTTTATTTACAGGAGAAAGGAACTGAAGCTTTAACGATATCCATAGAAAACTCTGCTTTTGCTTATTCACACTACTCCAGCTTAGTCATTTTACATAATACTTATAACATCCTAAGCTCCCAAATATATTGTTTGTAAACAAACCCATAAAAAGATGTTTATGAACGTGCATTGGAGAGAAATGAAAAATGTGTCGTCTAAGCAAACTGGTGATTTATATTCGAATAAATGTTTGTAAATGCTTTCTTCATAGTGTTGAATGCTTAGGTTCACTGTTAAGATGGGTAAAAAGTGTATACGTGTGTGTGTAAATGCGTACTATACATTCTTTTTTTAATGTATTTTTTATAATATAATTGTTACTGGTTTAGATGATGAGTCTTCCATTCCGATGTAATATATCCATGCCACTAATAAATATTTAAGTCAAAGGTTCAATTATTTTCCCCATCACTATTAATTTTGTAATGACTTCACACAATTAATCTTCGCCATTGCACTCCTGGACAGGTTTCCTAAGAATTTTGTAATATCAGGTTTTCCCTGTGTTTACTCTTGGAGTCTGATGCTTGTTGACATGCTGATTCATGTTTTACAACACCAGATAGGTTTCGTTCATCTGGAGGAATGAGCTTAAAGGGGTCATGCCAGCTTTTCCTCTCCTCTCTCCTCCTAGACTATATATCTGCATTTAATTTAAACTCGGGGCAGGGGCGGGGGAGAAGGGGAGGGGGGGAAAGTGGATTTCTGCAGCTAAGCTAAACTGGAGGAATCAATGGAATTTATTATCAAGGGATGTCTAATCTCTAAAACTAATACAACACTTCACAGCTATTGATTACATGCTAGGGATGCCCAAACTATTAATCATGCATGGAGGCAATAGAATAAACATACTATCAAGAGGAAATGGGCAAATAATTGTCAGTAGTGCAGTTATATTTCATCTTTTTACTATACCTCTGAAGCAGGAACAGCTATATTTTGCATCCGGAAAGATACGTCCTAAGATATATTGAATATCCCCTCATTGCTACTGAAACTAGTGTAGTACAGCTGATTATCTATGTAATAATTCAGATGTTTTCTTCAGCTCCCTGAGGTATGTGGTCAATAAGAAATTTGTAAGCTGGCTTAATAAGTCAGTCGCTAGATGAAGTGAAAAGAGAAGAAGCTCATAGATTTTCATGCAATCGCATTATAACCTTCGTTTGCAACAAAACAAATCTGTAGTGATAATACAGTATAAATGCTGCTGTTTCATTTATTCTGGGTTCATATTTCACATGACGAATAGATGGACATACTAATGTATACAAAGTGGGTTCTTTTTGCATCCATATTTGGTTTGTGTCCCGTATATTACACATCTGAGAAAGGAGATACCCAGTAATTCCTTTTATTTTTATTGTGGGCATACATACCTGTTAATTTGTCATTTTCTGTCTGAGCTGAAATTATGTCAAATTATATGACTTTTCAACTTCATTTAAATTCTCTTTATTTGATGTTCACTATTTCTGAATACTTCTAAGTTTAAAAGGATTGAAGGTCTGAGTTTTCAAATTTGGTTGCCTGATTAGGCCTCTGAACTGCTGTCAGGGAACAAGATTTGGGGGGGTGGGGGGGTGGAAATAGTACCTCAGTTAGACTTTCCAACCTGTATTTACCTACATGGCAGGTGTCCTGGTTTTTTGTATGTTCTAAGTATGAGGGATTGCAGATACTCCCTGGAATAGCTGCAAAAGTAACGTATTTCATTAAGAAAAGTCTATATTGATCTAATTAGTAATATGGTGTTGTGTGAGTTTGGCTTGGAATACACATAAGTAGGTAGGAAAGAGTCCCTAACTGAAGATAAGCAGTTCATGAACTATCATTAAGTAGTTGTTAAAGTATTGAGGCCAGCCCTGCTAATTGATTTTTGCCTTTAACTTTAAACTTGCCTTTAAGTCAACTTAGAAATGGTCAAAAATCTGCCAGAGTTACAGCCAAGAAACTTGAATAGGATTTACAGGAATTATTCTGTCATAAAAGACAGACTGGTTCAAGGAAATCAGACTGAAATGCGTGGCATTCTTGGGATGTCTGAATAAATTTGGTCTTCCAGTATTATCATCAGATTATTAAATAGTGGAGTTATTGAGAGTTAGTCTGAACTAAATTCTTTTGGATTTGTAGATTAATAATCCTTGAAATACAGGGGTTTCATCATGGATATTCTAGCACAGCTCACCTTACCTAGGGATTTTCGTTAGCTTTGTTCATAACTTAATTACAGGACGCTCCTTTGACAGGCAGCAGGTCACCCACAGAAATGCAGAAGCAATCACAGTCAATGTGCTTTCCTGCTTAGAGTTTGGCGGTCTGGTGAAACGTCTAACTCTAGTCCAGCCCTTTTCAATGAGCGATATGCTTTTCTGCACAGCAATTTTCACCAACTTTATGATGTGAGGGAATGTAGTATCTATATAAAACCTTTCTACGTGAGTCATCGCTCACTAATAACAAAAGTCATAATTGAGAGTAATGCAACTGAAATGAGCAAGTGAGGGACCTTTGGTTTTTGTTTTCTTACTGCGCATTTGACAGCTATTCTGATTTGGGTTGTACTTCCTCCAGTAGTTTTCACTCAAACCATTCTTCCATGCTCTTATCAGGGGTCTTTTTAGAACAGTTCTTTATAGCAGCAGATCTGTAACATGTTTCTTTAGAGTTTTGGGAACATTTTGTTTTTGTAGGACCTTGCATGAACTGAGGAAGCAGCAGGAGCCAGAGTGACATCTTAGAATAATCCTCTTTTATTTCCCACATGCCGAGGAGAGACCTATCCTGGAAAGGTCAGGAGAAGCCACAGGACAGAGAGTCTCATATTCTCATAAAGAAAAGTCTGGGGAATTCCAGTGGCTGTTCAGACTGAGAATATTAGGGGGGGGGGCGGGGGGGGGAGAGTACTTTCTTTTCTTAATGTTATTTTTGTTTTAAAATGTAAGGTCAAGATAATTAAAAGAGCCTCTGTCAGAAACACCATGTTTTAATTTACAGGGTTGTATGTTTTAGTTTACAGGGTTGCTATCTAAAGCCAAATGCACTCTGTCTACTTTTTAAATAATTGTCATACATTTGCTTTTCTATGTCAGAGTTTTTATTCAATATAAGCCCCACATCTCTCCGCAGTTCCCTCAAACCTTATGCAAATTTATGCATTATCTCGCCCTCCATGTCCAGTTAGTTTTCGCCTCCTGTGTCACCAATGAAGGCGACCTGGGTCACTCTTAAACTTGACATGAATTTCAGTCAGTGTGGTTAAGGCAGAAATTTGAAGTCAGTTCCTCAGTGTAATGTGAAATGAAATTTTAAGTCAGTTCATCAGTGTAATGCCACATCAGAAAGAGATCGAGGGGGGGGGGAAGATCTGAAAGCCAACCCCAATTAAAGAATTGTGTACACAGACAGTATATAGGCAGTATATGGTGGTGTTCAAGAAGCACGGTCTTTATCTGACATATTTGTGCTTTAAAATTTGTCTGATTGTTTTCCATGTCATGCAAACAAATGTGTGTTCTGTCTGCTGGTCAGAAGATCTAATTCCCCCTCCTCTGCTGGTCAGAAGATCTAATTCCCCCTCCCCTGCCGGATAAATGGCAATGAAACTGTGTCTTGCAATCAACATTTAGGATTTCTGAGGAAAGGCAGGAAGAGCAAAAGACTTGTCATACTTTACTAGCCTCATTTTATGGGATTTTTGTCACAACTTCAGGACATCTTTTTTCCTCTGATTGACAGCAGGGTAATACATATTAACATTAAAAATATGTTCTGAGGAAATGCATGCTCTCACCTTGCTGCTTCTGCAACTGTGAAGGCTTTTGTTTTCACTGCCATCTCTGTGAAGGTAATCTCTACAAAGAGGCTCCGATATTGACCTGTCGTATCACGTGTTGCTTATCAAGCACTAAAGAAATTGAATTTCATTTTATCCGTTATCTGGAGCGTCTTATTAAATCATCCTGCAGTTGAGAAGTGGTATGGGGTCAACAGGTTCAGTCTCTTTTGCCATCTATCCCTGGATTATTAACCTTTGGAGAATTACTAAAGCTGTTCTTTATTTTATCCCATAAAGTTGGGTTAAATCTTCTTGATCCATAAATTGTTGTGAGTGAGTGCCACGTGCACGTAATTCTTTTACTTAACGCAGGTTCTGGATAAGTCATGAGGACTTAGTAATCTATGTAAGTATACACGTCTATTTTATTATTCTGTTTTTTCTGTTCTTTTGATATACTCCCAGTGCCTCTGGTTTTAATTGGTTCAGTGAGAGGAAGAAACAGTTAGATGATGAATCTGAGTCAGCTTGGTAGTATTCATTTGCCAAGAGATAAAGGGAGGGTGATGAGGAGGAAGATAACGGAGTTGGGTATTGCCGGGCACTGAGAGCGGAGGGCAGAGAGAGAAGCTGGCCGTAAGCGGAGGCGGGAATGGGGTGGAGGTCGTGGCAGCAGCCCCTGGGCAGGAAGGGTCTGGCAGAAGGGAGCTCGTCCTCAGCAGAGGGACTCCGGAGGATATAAAGGACAACCCTGCCACCACCACCACCAAATCGTCCATATGCTTTTTGCCATATTTCTGTTGGAAGACGTGACTCTGCCAGTCAGGATGTTCACGGTCAAGAGCTTGGTACAGTCACAGGATATTGAATTTCCTGCAACAGCAGAAGCCCTAAGTACTTTCTGCTACTACCACAAGGAACTGCCTCCAGTGTTAAATATATTTTCTGGTAGAGAAAAAGGCTTGAAAAAATAAATTATGAATACCCCCTCTCCAAAATCTTAATTGTAAATACAAGATTTAATGCAAAAAAAAATACGCTGTTTCACTCAAATTCCAAACTCTCAATCAAGAAATCTTTCAAAATAAATAAGTCAAGGTATTGTTTTTCAGATAACTCGTCCTTATGCTCAGCTATTCACTTAGTGTCTGGGCACTGTTATGCTTTTTCAAACTTGTTTTAAGAAAGTCTGCAAAAACCTCTTTTAAATAAAGGCTAAATTCGCTCTCTGAATTGCTGCTGCTGCTGCTGTCTGGTGGCCAGAGCACTGGTGACCTGGGAGTTGGTTACCATTCAGTTTTCTTATGGCCCCGGCAGTAAATCACCTTGTAGCTTTGAACAAGCTATTAACCTTTTTGTGTCTCTTTCTCCTTGCAGAAAAGGATTAACACCGCTTACTTGCCTTGTAGCGGTAATTGGTAGATTAATGTTTGGAAAATATTAAGTGCTTCCTGCCATTATTATTGAAACTCCAGCTGATAGGTTAAGAAATGAACAGAGATTTTGAGAGAGTCTTATTTCTTCCCTCTTTGACATAGGGTGCCGATTTGACATGAGTAATTCAACAAAGAGGTGAGAAGTCATGGGCTTGAATGTCCATATATTGTGGATAAAAGTTCTAGATGTGACTGAAAGAGGAAAGGTGAGAAAACAACAACTGTGAAGACAAGATGTAAATTGATTTACTGGGTTTAGTAGAAGTGAAAAAGTATCCAGAGATCGGAA